TAAAATTGTGGTATATTCTTAATGGTATTCAGGATTTAAGTTTTGATGATAATTGTAATTTTTTTAAAGTCATTCAGAATTATATCCTTTCAACACATCGCTTCTCTCTAAGTCATAGTTAATTCAAAAGCATGTTTGTAATTTGTGTGTCTGCATGTTTTTGTAAAGTATTTGTTGAGTATTTCTTCCTTTTTTAATAAAACCAAAAAAATTTTTGTAAAGTTAGTGTGAGCCCCCTAGATAAGCCATTTGCGCTTTTGGGGCAAACACATTATATTATTAATAAAATATGTTTATATAAAAAAAAAAGTATGCATTTCATAATAATTCTCGAAATTTTTGAAAGTTTGTTATTCATATTATTCCAATAATTTGTTCAAACTTTATATATAGGTACCTTTATATAAAGGACTACGTTTCCAGTGCAGGTTGATTTCATTTCTTCATTGTGTTATACTTTTAAACACTCAGCCAGCCCCGTCTATTTCAAAATGGCTTATATCTTATTCATTATTCTGCTATTTTGAGGTGACATCAAATAATAATTTCATTTGCAGTTGATGATACAGATGATGTCAATGTTATGGAAGATATCATGTTGAAACGTGAAGCAGCCACGGATTCTTGCAACGTTATCGTCGCGATTTAAATCATGAATGCTATTCTGAATGCTGCAATTGGGAGGAAGTTCGTGAACATTACGAACACGACATACCTGCTGCAGTATGTTTGATTTTACTAGTCTATCAGAGCTCAACCGAATGACCAGATGCGACGCGCTTTTTTCCTTTTTGCCTCGGTGTCCTAAATATGCCCCCGGCACCATATTTCGAGCGGCATTAGCGCTGCATGCATTATAGCTACGTTGATTATGATAAAATTATTATCATTACAATAACCATTTGGCTTCTAAAACCAAACGATATGCCAACGACCCGGTAGTCCTTTTTATAGGCTATAAAAACAAGATCAAAAGTATATATACTGGACAAAATATAATATTTTTAAAACGAAAGTAAAGCATAACAGCTTTGTGAAGTTGTTTAGGGAAATTTAGATGTTGTGTCCACAGTCCACACATTATGTCCCACCCCTATATAGACGGTAATCAAGCACATCGGTATATTTATTTCATATTAAACTTTAAACATCAAAAATATATTTTAATATATTACAGAAAAAATATCGGAGAAAATTCCTAAAGTGGAAAAATAAGAATGGCTGTACCGTAAGGATTAGTATTTTTTATACCATTATAACTATATACTGATAATGCATGCACATACTAAATAGTTCACACTACTTGTCTTCTACCCCCGCGGTTTAATGAACCTCTGCAATCTGTGTCTTCTTCCAACCTTCGTAACTTTTAAACCAACTGAGTGAACTGACAATCCCCAGAAAGGTAGCTGCATTTTAAGTCGACCATGCATAACTGCAAGCATAAATCATCGGATATCATACTCATGGCCATATTAAACACGCAATGACATCCGTGCATGCTTTGCCCATGCAAACAAAGACAAATTATATAGCTAATGAACTATATATCATCCATCGCTATAATAAAACCCAACAGTCATTACTGTATATTATCAATAGTTTTAAGCGAACGAGATTATCATCTTGCAATATTATGTGATTATAATTTATATACAGTATGGCCTGCATGCACATTACCTTGTGATCATTGAAACACTGTTAGGCCAAATAAAAAAAAAATTGGTTAGCGTCACCGCCCACCTCTCGATTTCTGCCGCCTCTGAATTTTTTTATGTAAATCTCTTCGTTTTACAGCTTAAAACAGTTTAATATTTGAAATTTTTCTCATGCCAGACCTTCGCGCTATAATACTGATCCAGATAGGAGCGCGTGGGCTTGGGTACAAGGTTCTTATAGCAAAACGGTGGCCTTCGCAACATCAGTACAAAAAATATCACCGATATGGTGGGAAAACTGCCCCCATCCCCCCAAAAAAATACTATTAAAAAATTTTAAAAACGAGTAAAAATTTTTTAAAAAAAGCCCTCCCGCCTCTGAAAATTTGTGAGTAAAACAAGTATTTTTTATTAGGCCTTACTGCATGTCACTGTGCTATGCTATGCTATGAAATAATTATCGCGGTTAAAGTTATAGTACTTGCCGAGAATAGCCAGAATACAAATACGAGGAGAAGTATTTATATGTGCATTATATTTATTTTTTCAGAGCAGCTGGTCATGGTAAATTCACCGACAAAAGGAACGGTACAAACTAAAGAGTATAAAGGAACAACTGGAAAACCAACAATTATATAGGCTAGATTAGAATAGAGTAGTGGCAATCTTTCATTTGTAGATGCCGCATTTACATAGCAAAACGTATAAAGTAAACGAAAGTGATCCCAAATTATCTTCTGATTGAATAGTTATAGAATGAATGATGGATGAATGTTAAATAAAAACGTTTGTATGCAACTATCCGTTTTTGAGATATAGTAGATATAGCATGTAGTACACAGTTGGCGATCGTCGTAGGGCCGCCGAAATCAAGCAGTTCGATGTCCCAAATTTAGAAAGCCCATTGAGAGTCCCGTCTGTGCACAGCCACAGGCTATCCACAACCTGAACAACCATCAATGACTGACAGTATAATATAACTATAAACGTACATTGTTTGCACTTAATCTCATGTGTGCTTGGTGGGAAATTAAAAGCTACAGCGTTTTGCTGAAACCATGCAGGTTTCAAAGATTTCCCGTGTCTTGTTGATTTAAACTCACAATCGCATGGATTAAATGTTTAGTTGTAGCTTGCTTGGTGGTACATACACAAGGACGTTGAAATTTTAACTTAGTTCGAAAAGTTGTTCACAGTTGTTTCAGGAATCTCGACCATGTCCATGTATTTGAACGTTTTCATCGTCACTTTTGTGGCATGGATATCTTTTTCCTCCGCACAGGTAAGCAAAGACAAGGTAATCAATGACTCATGCTCTCCTTCCTATATGCAATGGAACTGTTTTTATGAGTAGGCCTATACAGATAGAATATAGATAGTAAAAATCACGCATACATAGAGTGTCCCGCTCGTATATTTGCCTTCTTTTGTACACTTATAAGACAGTTTGAATGCATACATGGTTACACCTCAGGCCAAATGAACGAGTGAAAACGACGAGTGAAGAAATTAAAACTTGATCTTTGAAAACATGATTCGTGATCTTCATTCATATTAATTAATTAAGAGATGGTTAGCTTAACTTTTTTGTATAAGTATAAAGTACAGCACTTATAACACAACTCTGGTACAATTTTATTCAGTTTACTACGCAGGAGCCAGTGGACGTTGAATCCAACCATCATGATCTTGGACCGTGCAATGAAGAGAACTTCGGCCAACGCAAATTGATTAAAGACAGTGATGGCAACGAAACAGCTCTCATTTGCTCTCACGACAACGGTGTTTATTCATGGAAGCTAGAGAACGCTATGGAAACGGAAAGTGGGATTTTTTGTTTTAATTTAATGAACGAGTGTTATACGAATAATTACAAAATGAAATGGAATGTACTCAACCACTGGAATCTCAAAATAACTATAGAATGGGTGTACAAAGTTTAATCATGCACATTTAGATAAATACTTTAGCTTTTACAAATTGCTAAAATTAATGTAAATAATATATACTTATATGTACTCATGTATATGTATTTCATAATTCTCGAAATTTTTGAAAGTTTGTTATTCATACCGCGTTATTCCAATAATTTGTTCAAACTTTATATATATATAGGTATACCAGTTTTGGAAAAATATTTCCAGAGGTTGATTTCATTTTTTCACTGTGTTATACTTTTAATCACACTCAGCCAGCCCCGTCTATTTCAGAATGGCTTATCTTATTCATTATTCTGCTATACAGATGACAATCAAATAATAATTTCATTTGCAGTTGATGATACGCATGATGTTATGGAAGATATCATTTTGAAGCGTGAAGCAGCCACGGAATTCTACCAACGACAACGTGATCGTCGAAGTTTAAAAGCCCTACATCATGAATGTTATTCTGAATGTTGCACCTGGGAGGAAGTTCGCGAATATTTCAAATAGGAAAGCGAGTCTCAAGCGAAAACAGTATGTTTGACTTTACTAGTCTATATATATGACTATGAGAACTCGACCGAATGGCCAGATGCGTGCGCTTTTTCTTTTATCCTGAATGTCCTAAACATTTCCCCCACTATGTTTCGTGGTATAAGTGCTGCATTAGTTACATTGATTATGATAAAACGACTATCATTACAATAACCGATGCCAACGACACGGTGGTCCAAACTTTCGAAGCAAGGTCAAAAGTATATATATTGGACAAAATATAATATTTTTAAAACATAAAAGCTTTGCGAAATTGTTCAGCTAGGGAATTTTAACCCTTTAAAAGATGTCCCATGCACCTCCAGACGATAATCAAGCACATGTATATTTACTTCATATTTTTACTTCAAACAACATAATGTCAAAAAAATATTTTAATATATTACAGAAAGAATATTGGAAAACATTCCAAAAGTGGAAAAGAAAGAATGGCTGTACCGTAAGGATTAGTTTTTATACCTGCATTGAATTATATATACTGCATAATAGTAATAGTTAACACTAAATCTGCCCCCAATCGGTGAACCTTTGCAATCTGTATATATCTTCTTCCAACCTTCGTATATAGCTTTTTAACCAACTGAGTGAACTGACAAACACCAGAAAGGTGACTGCATTTTATATGTTCGCTGTTCGCACGTATATTGGTGTACTTGCGGTAATTACCCATAGATCCTTTGCGGCCTTAGAATGAAAAAACTGAGATTTTTTTTCAATACAATATATATATATATATATATATATATATATATATATATATATATATATATATATATATATATATATATATATATATATATATATATATATATATGTATATATATATAAATATGTATACGCGCGGGGACTTCTTCCTATATGCCTCCTCGGGTTTTGGCCATCTGGGGCCAAAACCGGGGGGGGGGGTTAATGTCGACCATAACTACATGCATAAATCATTATATCATACCATATTAAACATGCAATGACATCCGTGGCTTTGCAAACATGCAAACAAAGACAAATTATATATAGCTAATGAACTATATATTCATCGATATATCGATATAATAAAACCCAACATTCAACATGCAGTCATTACTGTATTGTCAATTTTACTGAAGCGAACGAGATTATCATCTTGCAATATTATGTGATTATAATTTATATACGGCCTGCATGCACATTACCTTGTGATCATTGAAACACTGTTACTGCATGTCATTGTGCTATGCTATGAAATAATTATCGCGGTTAAAGTTGTTGTATTTGCCGAGAATAGCCAGAATATAAATACGAGGAGAAGTATATTTATAAATTATGTGCATTACATTTGATTTTTCCAGAGCAGCAGCTGGTCATGGTAAATTCACTAACAAAAGGAACGGTACAAACTAAAGAGTAAAGGAACAACTGGAAAACCGACAATTACATAGATTAGAATAGAGTGGCAATCTTTCATTTGTAGATGCTGCATTTATACATAGAAAAACGTATAAAGTATAAACAAAAGTGATCCTAAATTATCTTTTGATTGAGTAATCATATAATGAATGATGGATGAATGCTAAATAAAAACGTTTGTATGCAACTATCTGTTTTGAAATACAGTAGATTATAGCATGTATAGTACACAGTTGACGTGATCGTCGAACCGCCGAAATCAAACAGTTCATATCCCACATTTAGAAAGCCCGTCGTCGAGAGTGTTGTCTGTGCACGTAAAAAAGTTCAATACCAACAGACAATTTCTGAAAAACACACACCCTTATATAATGTGTAACAATAAAACAGGCTACAATTGATATTCAAAAATGCCAAAACCAACATACACTGCACAGCACCCGGCCCAGGGAAATTTGGGGGCCCAGGACCAACTTTGACTTGGGGGCCCTTGTGATTCCATCTTCTAACATTGTCGTTAGGGCGTCCGGGGGCATCCCTTCGGAAAAATTTTGAAACCTGCATGAGGTCCCAGAAATGGCCAAATCCTGCATTCTGGAAATCTAGTATCTATGTAGCTACAGTATATTTCACTGTAATTCTTTATTTGGGGCCCCCTTTAACTTGTCCCAAGGCAAATTGCACCCCTCTGGGCGGCCTTGACAGCACCTGCAGTTACAACTATCTATGACAGCATAGTTCAAATTTTATCACTGCACATTTTAGCCTACATTTTATCACGGCACATTTTACTTTTATAATTGCACAAATTGGTTATCACTGCACACTAAAATTAGGTATGAGGGTATTAAAATAATTGTAGCCTACTCACTCATTAACTCGCCTACATTTATTGGCAATTCCTCATCATCTTCACGCTCGGTTGTAGGACCGGTCAGCCTTCGGATTTACATGACTCCCACAATGTAATGTCCAAACATTTTCTATATAAATTTGTTTAGTAAAATCATGTTTAGTTAAATATATTCATAAGAGTCGAAAATATAACGATGATTATATAGAAGAATTCTACCAAATACTGACAGCGTTTCTGGGAAGTTGAAGTTAAGTTTTTAAGCACGTATATAGCTACGGAAACGCAACGTCAACGACGACAAAAATACTCGTCGTCAACGGTTAGGTGGAAAACGCGGACATGCGGACACGCGGACATGCGGACACGCGGACATGCGGACACGCAAGTCAAGTGGAAAACGCGGACATGCGGACACGCAAGTCAAGTGGAAAACGCGGACATGCGGACACGCAAGTCAAGTGGAAAACGCGGACATGCGGACACGAAATTTACTAAACTTCAAAAAATCTATTACGACAATAATTAATAATTTTTCGCAAGATATTCAAAGTTATCAATGCCGAGGTTGTGTTTTTCTCTCTCTTTTCGCTGTCTTAGTTTGTAAGCTCTTTAGTGTATTTCGCTTCTTTTTTTAGTTACAAAAACAAATCTCACCATGGGCCATGGCTTTATATGTTCTGCATGTAAAGAAGCTCGTTTTCTGCTGGCAGAATTGATGTCATATTTACATTCAGAAAGCTATATCTGCAGCTGTGATGTCATAATTACACAATCAAAACGGAGATTGTATAGGAAATAATGACTGAAGATTGATAATGGATTGTTGCGCGAACTTTTACTGTTTTCATGTATTTTACTTACAGTATTTAAAATTCTGAAAAATCCACTCAGAATCTTTACAAAATACAAAACACCGGCAATTCAGAAAACGTTTTCATATATTCAAGTTTCAACTACATATGTTTTAATTGTCATCACAAATGATACTAGGTTATATTTTACACATACGTATATATTATCAGGTCTTTTGATGCTTTACTTCCCTGTTTCAAGGTTAAGTTCTCAGTGCAAAATTGTAGCTGATCACGAATAACTTGTGATTGCCGATCAATATTAAGGCTACAGTTGATCGCACGCGCAGGTATAGTTTTGCAACTATTTATTCGTCGGCATCATTGTTATGATATAGAATGCCCGTCCAGTTTGACACTTCGCACCTCCTTTAATCCTTTCGGAACAGCGACAACTTGCTCATAATAGGTACTCGATAGAATTAATTGCTGGTGGGTTTTGTAGATGGAAATTTACGTAATTTCAAGTAATCTACACGAGCAATTTTTCGTATGGGACAACTTTTATTTGTCATATAAAAGCTAACGCGCTAGCTTTTCAGCAACTGTATTTGCCACACAAAAATTGCCCAATTTTCCTCGTCTACACGAGCAAATAAAAATTGTCACATCAAAATTGTCACATCAAAATTGCTCGTGTAAACGGGGCTTAACTCTTAAGTGTCTATTATGCTTCTGAAGCCCTATTATGCTCGAAATTATGCCGACATAATTTACCCAAGCCTAGCTTGTAATCCATTAAGTTTCAGGTTGTCCGGAACAAGCGGTAGGAAGACATTCTGCCGTTAAAATAGAACCCTTTCAAATGAATTAAATCTTCATTCAGACAAAACTTTCCCTGTAAAATTTGCCAGAATTTTAGTATTGAAGCACACTTACTCGGCTAAGTTGAATGCACTTAATTAAACAAATGAATTAACTTTCGGTGCTATAAATATAACTCAAGTTATAATAAGTATTTAAGTTTTGTCGCTCTCCAATATCCCTCGCTTCAAGTGACAAAAAAATCGTTTTGATATAGATATATTTCCTGACCTTCGGCATATTTTGACCCACGACCTTTAGCCAAGCTCATTAATTAATCACCTATTGTGAGGAAGGATTAAAAAGGATTAAAGGAGGTGCGAAGTGTCAAAATGGACGGGCACTCTATACAGGGTATGTATAAAAAAACGCAACCTCGGAATTTCCCAAGGAATCGACATGGTTTTAAAGACAAAATATTTTAGGTGCCTGGGAATATAAATTAAAATAGCACAACTGTCAAAATTATTGCACACGCGAGTGCATAAAGCAACAGTAATATGATCTATTAGCAATTCGATTTCAATTCCCAGGGGCTTAAAATCTTTTATGCTTGAATTGCAAAGTGATTTCTTAGGAAATTCCGAGGTTGCTTTTTTTTTAAGCCTGCCGCACACGAGAGCTATCTGCTGAGCCAAAAGTTCCTCGGTCCTGTTAGCTCAGCCGATAGCTCACCGATCAAACATGTTTGATACGTGAGAAAAGGTTGCATGAGGCAAAAAACTCAGTAAAATGTACCCGCACACGGTGAGCTATCGGCTGAGCTAACAGGCACGAGTAACTTTTTGCTCAGCAGATAGCTCTCGTGTGCGGCAGGCTTTATACACCCTGTATCATAATAATGATCCCGACGAATAAATAGTTTGCAAAACTATACCTGCGCGTGCTACAATTTTGCACTGAGAACTTAACCTTGAAGCAGGGAAGTAAAGCATCAAAAGACCTGATAATATATACGTATGTGTATGTATATGATGTGTATGATAACAGACAACGTTTGTGCCTTAATCTCCTCCAAAAGATCAATTCAAACGGCGATAATAAACTCAATCCGCTCATACCTAATTCTAAAGCCTGCCGCACACGAGAGCTATCTGCTGAGCAAAAAGTTACTCGTGCCTGTTAGCTCAGCTGATAGCTCACCGATCAAACATGTTTGATACGTGAGAAAAGGTTGCATGAGGCAAAATGTACCCGCACACGGTGAGCTATCGGCTGAGCTAACAGGCACGAGTAACTTTTTGCTCAGCAGATAGCTCTCGTGTGCGGCAGGCTTTAAGCCTCAGCGAACATGGTCGGCCACTTCGTAACTATGATAGTCTTTCAATTTTTAAATGTAGTACGGACCGATTTAAGCGCAGTTTTTCCTAGCGCTAACTCAATATTCTAACAATATCTAGTCAATTATAATAGACGTTTATAACTTGTCTTAATATTTAATGTATATGTAAGACAAATAGTCAATATTCTAACAATATCTATAGTCAACTATAATAGTTCATAACTTGTCTTAAAATTTTAATGTATGTAGGACAAATAACGGTATACTTAAAGTATCCTATTATGTAAATATAAAGTATTTCACCTTGGTGCAATTTTATATAGTTTTCTGAGTTGCCATTGTTTTGTATTTTGTAAAGATTCTGAGTGGATTTTTCAGAATTTTAAATACTGTAAGTAAAATACATGAAAACAGTAAAAGTTCGCGCAACAATCCATTATCAATCTTCAGTCATTATTTCCTATACAATCTCCGTTTTGATTGTGTAATTATGACATCACAGCTGCAGATATAGCTTTCTGAATGTAAATATGACATCAATTCTGCCAGCAGAAAACGAGCTTCTTTGCATGCAGAACATATAAAGCCATGGCCCATGGCGAGATTTGTTTTTGTAACTAAAAAAAGAAGCGAAATACACTAAAGAGCTTACAAACTAAGACAGCGAAAAGAGAGAGAAAAACACAACCTCCGGGCATTGATAACTTTGAATATCTTGCGAAAAATTATTAATTATTGTCGTAATAGATTTTTTGAAGTTTAGTAAATTTCGTGTCCGCATGTCCGCGTTTTCCACTTGACTTGCGTGTCCGCATGTCCGCGTTTTCCACTTGACTTGCGTGTCCGCATGTCCGCGTTTTCCACTTGACTTGCGTGTCCGCATGTCCGCGTGTCCGCATGTCCGCGTTTTCCACCTAACCAAACCTTACGATTTTAGGACGGCAACGCGACGGAAACGGCTACCAATACAATAGATCATTGAAAAGAATTGAGTAATTACAATAAATGAATAATTTAGACATTGTCCTCGCTCTGTTTACAACGCCAAATCACAGATTTTCACGTGTTGATACAACGGCTGCATTCCAAGCCACAACAAGTGCAACTTCAAACTGAATTTAGTCAGAACTTTTCCTAACCATAAAACCCATGTCTTCAACTTCTAAGACTCTATTAAATTCATACGATTGATAATATACGACGAACTATCGACAACCATTTGTTTGAAGGAGTTTGTTTTGGCCGTCGCCGTCGCGGTTGCCGTCCCAAAATCGTAAGGTCTCTAATTAGTACGGGAACGAGAACGGCTTCAAACACGACCAGAAATTCAATAGAAATACTGTTTTATTAGTATTCTTTATATACAGAATATTAATGAGGACACGGCTACAATAGATACTGCCTTATTAGTATTCTTTATATAGAATACTAATTAGGAGTGTTATCATGTTGAAAGCCACTGCATGTGACACATTATGGTTGACATGATTTGCCAATAAGCTTATGAATCATTAATGAGTGTTTGAAGGTAGGGTACAGTCCGTATATAAACAAAGCCTTTGTTTACATTTCGGTATTCAAAATATTGAACATTATTCGACAACTCTTTATATTTTCATGCTTCTGCAGTATAATAAATTATCAGGATACAACAATCAGGCTTTGGAAGAACATAAAATGAAATAAAAACCTAATTAAAGTGCTTATATCACTACAGGAGACTCATATGTGCGCTGCGCAGACCGGACTGTACCCTATCTTTAAGTGTTTTTCAATCACCATAGTCGCTGAGACCAAAATAACTGCGTTTTTATTACACGTTTTTATTTCTTTAAAACAATTCTTTTTCACTGTTTTGATAAATTTCTACTTTTTCTTTATTTATTACCGTCTAGGGCATTCTAAGCTTAGTTTATCAGAATTCAGCACGTGACTGAAGCGAGCCAATAACATTTCGCTATTTGCATAGATCATGAACGCGTGATATTTGCAAAATTTTGACTTCTAAATACTTGGGGGGATAACAATGAACTGCAGTTTACTTGTTTAATTCGGAAAAGTTTTCAATTTTATTGTATAAAAATTGAAATGGATTACATTTTCTCGTTGTCTGTTCAGTTATAGATACACAGTATGACGTCATATGTGGTAAGAACAAAAAGTGATCACTCACCTAGGCGGCTCGTGTACTTTTTTGTTCTTATCACATATGACGTCATACTGTGTATCTATAACTGATCAACGGTTAAATGTGACCTATTTGTTAAATGGTGAGAAAAACTGTAATATTCACTGTAATGAATGTGGGTGCTTTGAGTGAATGACCTACTCGAAGCACCCACGTCCAGTCGAGCTCACGAGATGCAACTGTTTGCCGATGACAACAATATAGTCTTCGCAATTAAATCACAGGACGATATTAAATCTACAAACTGATCTTGGAACCCTGGAACATAATTGGTCAACAATATCTGGGCTGTTATTCAACCAATCCAAGTGCAAACATCGAACGCTAAAGCGAAAGAAAGCGCCAGTTGATTTCTCTTACAAGTTGGACGACTCAATCATATCCAGTACTGACAACGAAAAAAACCTTGGTGTGTGGCTGCATCATCGTATTTAACGTGGAAAAAAAACATGTAAACGAGCAAATAGCGAAAGCGATTACGATTCTGGGATATGTTAGAAAAACACTTTGTTTATTCAAAATACTGCAGCCAGACGAGCGTTATACCTGGCATTGGTTAGGTCGCACTTTGACTACGCAGCTCAGGTTTGGTCACCACAGACAGTGGAACTTATAAGTAATCTCGAAAGAACACAAAGACGTGCTACTAAATACATTTTAATTCTACTGTTTAGCACTGCTGTTCACTATAAATCCAGGTTACGGTCTTTAAATCTTCTTCTTGTAAGCTATTGGCAGCAATACTTGACACCTTATCTTGTTTTTCAAAATCACACATGGTCTAGTAACGCTAATTCTCCAAGTGTCGACAGCTATCCTCGTCACTCGTAGAACAACCCAATCAATCTCATCAAACAGACTGAAATATGTCATGTAAATGCAGAACTACCATACGGTACACGTCTAGACACATGACACCTCCGTATTTACACACATGAGCGTGCTCTCACCAAGCGCATGTGGTACAACACGAAGGTGTCGACGCATCCAAACATGCGCAGAGCGTAATGGGACCAGAGTGCTCAAACAACCACAAGGGAAGTGAGCTTTGCATTATCGCTAATAGTCACCCATTAACAACTCCGCAGAGTGCTCAATATATGTACTCAATACCATATAGATAAAGCGTAATATAGTTTTTCGTTTTACCTAAAAAACCCACAACTGCAGTCTGTTTCATCCGTATAGGAATCATCAGGTGGACCCCCTGACGATTCCTATGCGGATGAAACAGACTGTGGTTTGGAAAACTATATATATATATATATATATATATATATATATATATATATATATATATATATATATACTGTATATATATATATATATATATATATATATATATACTGTATATATATATATATATGCGTGTGTTTAATGTTGGTGTTGTGTCGGGCCCCCAGTAATTGGCTATTCCTTGTTGCGGTCACCCAGCCGTGGTCATGTACTGTATTTCATTATGTACGTTTATTTTTATCCTGTTATGTTATGTAATGTAC